GCGGGCAGGGAACGCATTTTACATGTTTGCTTGACTGCCTAGCGGGCAGGGAACGCATTTTATATGTTTGCTTGACTGCCTAGCGGGCAGGGAACGCATTTTACATGTTTGCTTGACTGCCTAGCGGGCAGGGAACGCATTTCAGCCGGTGGGGCTGGGTTTTTATGTTAGCTTGACTGCCTAGCGGGCAGGGAACGCATTTCAGCCGGTGGGGCTGGGTTTTTATGTTTGCTTGACTGCCTAGCGGGCAGGGAACGCATTTCAGCCGGTGGGGCTGGGTTTTTATGTTAGCTTGACTGCCTAGCGGGCAGGGAACGCAATACAGCCGGTGGGGCTGGGTTTTTATGATAGCTTGACTGCCTAGCGGGCAGGGAACGCATTGCAGCCGGTGGGGCTGGGATTTTTTTTGTTTGTTTATTACAGTATTTCCTTTGGTACCAGTGTTTTGCCGGGACCAGCCTGGTGGGTGAAGGCTGGGGATTGTTATGTCCTGAATATCTGACACCCGTGGTGTTAACATGTACATGGCTATACTGCTCTCTATCATTCTGTGGTTTCTGTTTAATTGTTGTTACAGTGTGGGTACCCTTGGTGTGTGTGTGTGTATTGTGTGGCTAGTTCTGGATTCCGGTGTTTACGCTCATTTGTATGTTTGTGATTTCTGCAAATGTCTTCTCATTAGCGCAGCCACGTTCATTTTCTCCTTTGTCCTTTATCTCTCCTGTGCCTGTTGCCCAGAGCTGTGTTAGTCACCCACGCTCACTCGCTCCTGTCCGTGACCACCACCCCGGGTGGGCGGATCTCCGTGACTGGTCTACGTTTGGGGAAGACGCACGGGGCTCGAGTTCTCGTGGCAGTCGAGCACTGTAGACATTCTTTTTCCCTTGTACCTTCTCTACTCCTTTGTCTTTAACGTGTGGCACGCTTTGGTTACTCAAAATGGGACAGGAACACGCTAGACCTGCTAAAGGCTTGTTAGCTTGTGACATTGTGAAAGAAAGGGCAGGGGAAGATGCGATGTTGAAACTTAAAAAGATTGCTAAGGTGTGTGGTTTCCAGATGTTGCCCAGTGGGAGATTGCAGCCTGAGTTTTGGAGGAAACTACTCATAGACAAGGAAGGGTTGTTGTTGGATAAGGGGCTGACGAAAGTTGCGGAGGCTTGGTACCGGGTAGCTAGAGGTCTGAAACGGGAGGGATGGGTCGAGGAAGAACTGGAGTTTGAGGGGCAAATTGTGTATGTTTATCACAGGAGTGTTCACGATGATGATGTTGTTTCTATTGTTCCACGACCACCGCCCTATGATGGCGCCCGGAGCGCTACACTTAATTCCCGCCCTGCTTCTCCCGTCACAACACAGACCCCACCCTCTGGCGGTGTGCCTTCCGTTCCCACTCCCCTGTGCCCCGTACTCGGCGCGGATGGTGCTTACTATTATCCAGTGCCACTTCACTCGTTCCCACCTACTCCCATGCCTCAACCCTCCTATGACCCAACCCCCTCCTTTAGCCATCCTTCTGTCATGTCTGCTGAAGCCCCCCGCCTCCATGTCCTCCACTGCCTCTCCCAGTGTCCGCCCCCACTTCGAACCCTGCCATGACTTCCCCTACCTCACCTGTTGAAGTCCCACCTTCCTCTTCCGATTCCCTCTCTACCCCGAGTACCTCTTCCCTTGTAACACCCGTTCTCTCACCCTCTCCGTCTGTTACACACCCGACTCCCCCAATCCATGCCCTTTCCACTGGCCCTATCCCTCCGGATCTCTGTTCCCCCGCTGACCTTCCTTCTACCATGCACCCAGGAGACCCCATGACCCCCACCCCTGCACCCTCCCTACCCTTCTTTCCCTCTCATCCCATTCCATCCACCTCATCCTCCTCTAAGGACTCACCATCCCTACTTTCCGCTCTCCTGAAACTCGTACCTCCTGCTCCCGAAGTCCCAGCCCCCACTACCTCGTTACCCCTCCCTCCCACGGCCGATTTGCCGTCCCTAATCTCTGCCCTCACCGCCCTGACCCAACCCCCTGTTACCGCCTCTCCAACCCCTTCTCCAGTGTTACCTCCTCCTCCCGAAGTCCCGGCCCCCTCTACCTCGTTACCCCTCCCTCCCACGGCCGATTTGCCGTCCCTAATCTCTGCCCTCACCGCCCTGACCCAACCCCCTGTTACCACCTCTCCATCCCCTTCTCCAGTGTTACCTCCTCCTCCCGAAGTTCCAGCCCCCTCTACCTCGTTACCCCTCCCTCCCACGGCCGATTTACCGTCCCTAATCTCTGCCCTCACCGCCCTGACCCAACCTCCTGTCACCACCTCTCCATCCCCTTCTCCAGTGTTACCTCCTCCTCCCGAAGTCCCGGCCCCCCCCTACCTCGTTGCCTATTCCTCCACTGATTGGTTTGCCGTCCCTTGCCTCCGCCCACGTTGCTCTGTCACAGCCCCTTGTTCCAATCCCTCCAACCCCTTCCCCGGAAACCCTTGACGCATCCATGACTAATGACCTGTCTACCCCGATATCCGCCCTTTTCACTGCTGTCACTTCCCTGGTTAACTCCGCGATCCCTGCACTGCCTCCCACTGATATACCTCCTCCTCCTCCTCCCCCCGAACCTTCGATCCCTCCCTTGTCTCCCGCTAACCTCCCCGAGCCTCCCGATCCAATCTCTGCTCTTGCTCATGTCCTAAACACCCACCTCTCACGCCCAGCCCCGCCGGCCCCCATGATGGCCCCTTCCACGGCTTTAGTTCCCCGTGTCCCTTCCGCCAGCACTAGTTACCCAATCATGGTGGTTGGGTCTGAGGTGTCTGCGACTTCGGACCAGCCCTATGCGATGGGTGCCTCCCCCCAAGCCTCGGGCTTCCACCCTGCTACCTCTCCTATTACCGCCCTCCCAGTTGCCCCCGCTACAGCTACCCCTGAGGCTACTCTTCACCGTGGTCCGGTGGTGCCCGAGGAGGTCGTTGTGGTGGCCCAGAGCTCACCCCACCTGGGGGGGAAAGGCTTCCCCAACGGCACTCCATTCCCCAGGGGTATACTCAGATTAGTCATGGTGCGGATGGTGCACCACCTATGTCTGTTACTTTTAACCCTTCCCAAGCCGCTACCCTTGTGACCTCACTCCCTGATCCTGAGAAACACCCCATGCCCTTTTTCCGCAGGATGGCTCAGATCCGTAAGACCTATTCCGCTGCTTGGCGGGATCTTATTAGTTTATGTGAAATTAAGGCTGGAGATGCATACTGGCCAATCATGGAACGGAGCTTTAGTGACGCTCCACTTACTTCTGATACTGATTTTCATTCTGGTGAAATTTTCTGCGAACAACTTCGCGCCTGGGCGCAGGATAAACTGGCTGACCAGGCTACTTGCATTAATGACATAATACAGGACAAACTTGAGACTGTTGAAAAGTACCACTCTAGGTTGACTCAGACTTTCTCGGACTTAGGGTTCAGCACTTACAATAAGGCACACACCCAGATGCTATCTGCAGCTTTTGTGGCAGGACTGAGAGAACACATCCGTAAGGGGTTGATTTTAGCTTGCCCTGAGTATAGAATTATTCCACTAGACACCCTTTTGTTGGTAGCCAAGGGCTTAGAATCTGTTTTACAACCCACACAGCGTAGGGCTAGTCCGCTGATGTACACCACCTCCACACCAGTTGCTGGTTCTAACCAAGTTCCTCAGATGTTCCCCCAACAGTACACTCAATCACCCCAGACACTGCCTGCACCAATCCCTTTCCCCCGGGACCGGACTATCACGACAATCCGGACCTGTTTTAATTGTAATCAGCCAGGCCACTTTAGAAGAGATTGCCCACAGCCTAGAGTGTTTCGCCAGCAAACTCCCCGGTACCAAAGTCCCCATGTCACTGGCTACAACTTCCCTTCCCCTGGTTACCTCCCCGCCCTTCCCCATCCGCAATTGCCTCAGCTTCCCCCACCACCACCTCCTCCTCCTCCTGAATACACTCAAGCCCGGCTCCCTGCATCAGAAGCTCGTGCATATACTTCAACCTCCGCTGAAGGGTTTGACAATGATGATTTCCTAGACGGCCAACCCCGTCATACCCTCCGCCCATCCCGTCCACCCATGCATTCTGCTAACCCTCCTTCCACTTCCCGCTGGTACCAGGGACCAGACCAGGCCCATTTGGATTTATTGCAATAGGTAACCGGCAAGCCTGTGTCAGCAACCCCTGCCATGGCAGTGTCTGCGGGGGATGGGGGGGGCCCTTTACCTACTGTAGTTCTCCCTGTGGAGGGCCACCCCACCACTTTCCTAGTTGACACAGGTGCAGCCCGTAGTGTCCTTAGAGAACAAGACCTGCCAGACCCATCTTTCTTATCTGATACTGATGTTTCCTGTGTTGGGGTGGATGGTACACCACGCAGCAACCCCCTTACTAAGCTCCTACACGTAGGTTCACACATCCTCTCCCGATTTGTTGTTTCCTCTACCTGCCCCATTAACCTCCTAGGTGCCGATGTTCTCTCTCGGCTCCAGGCCTACATTACCTTCACTGCAGATGGGCAGATTGAATTGACAACCCCCTTATCACAAAAGGATACCTCTGTCCTCTGTTCACTCCCTATTTTGTTAAACCTAACTGACAATACAGGGGATGCACGGGTCCCACAAACCCCCAGTGCTCTGGATCGTATCCCTCAAGAACTTTGGTCCACTGGCCCGGATGATATTGGGCGATTACATGTGCCCCCAGTCTTAGTCCAGCTCCTGCCTGGGGTACTGCCTCCTCGCAGGCCACAGTACCCTCTGAAGCCTGCACAAGCTGAAGCCATTACCAGACAAGTTGAAAGTCTCCTTGCCAAAGGTGCCCTCATCAAGTGTACATCTCCATGCAATACTCCACTTTTTCCTGTTAAAAAGAGAACTGTTAAAGGTCAGCCTGACCAGTACCGCATGGTGCAGGATCTCCGTGCTGTGAATGATGTAACCATAAAAGACTCCGCAATTGTTCCTAACCCCCACACCCTCTTATCCCAAGTCCCACCTACTTCAACAATATTCACCGTGGTGGATCTAGCTAATGCCTTCTTCAGTGTCCCCCTTGACCCTTCCTGTCGTTTTCTCTTTGCCTTTACCCATGAAGGACAGCAATACACCTGGACTGTTATGCCTCAGGGGGCTCAGAATTCCCCCACACAGTTTGCTCACGCCATGTCCCTGGTGCTGGATCCCTGTCAGAAGTCTCATTTGGATGTCGTCCTGCTTCAATATGTTGATGATCTCCTTCTCTGTGCTCCTGATTTGCTCATTGCAGAGCGTGATTCAGAAGATCTTCTATGTTTCCTTGCTGAAGCTGGTTGCAAAGCCTCAAAATCCAAGTTACAATGGTGCCGGCCCTCTGTGGTCTTCTTGGGACACTGCCTTTCCCGTGGCACCAAACATTTAACCTCTCAACATGTACAAGCCATTCTGCATCTTCCATTACCTGCAAATCACCAGGCTCTCCATGCTTTTCTGGGTCTTATCACGTACTGCAGGTCCTGGATACCTGAAGCATCAAAGCTCATGCAGCCACTCTATGATGCCCTCAGGAGTGAGCCCTTTCATCTCACAGAAGAAACTATTATCTGTTTCCACACTCTGAAAAGAGCTATTGCTTCTGCACCTGCCTTGGGCCTACCCAACTACCAACTTCCCTTCAACCTGTTTGTCTCCGAAAAATCAGGACATGCTTCCGGAGTCCTCACCCAGAAACATGGATCAAGTCAACGCCCTATTGGCTATTTTTCCTGCATGCTTGATCCTGTTGCAAGGGGTAGCCCCTCTTGCCTCCGAGCGGTGTTTGCCGCCAGCGCCCTCCTGGACAAGACCAATGACTTTGTTCTTGGCCATCACCTCACAGTGTTGGCCCCTCACGACATTACTGCAATCCTGCAGCAAGTTCGACCTAAACACCTTTCTTCCCAACGTCACCTTCGCCTACAGACCTCCTTACTCCTACCTGATAATGTGAAACTCCAGAGATGCCTTTCCCTGAACCCAGCCACTCTTCTGCCACTTCCCAAGGGGGGAATTGTGCATCACTGGTACAGCCTGGATATCAACCCAGAGGTTCGAGCAGATTTACAGTTGCCTGTATTCACACCCCCACATGATGAACAATCAGAGGCCCTACTCCACTGTGTCTTGTGGTTTAGGGACGTACCAAGCCCTGATGTGGACTATGAGGAAGAACTATTTCAGCTCAAAGAAATTCAGATTACCCTGACTGACTTATTTTGGGACTCCACAGGTACCATGCTCATTTTGGTTCACCTTCCAGATAATGTAGCACACCTCTACCACCATTGGGAAACAGCTATCCCACACATATCTCTCACCAGATCCCACGACACCTCATGGGAGAACCTAGGCCCGATGGCCAAAACCTGGAACCAAATGACTCAAGAACAACTGACTTCCACGGGGATAAATAAAAAGACCATTAACTACTGCACAACAGGATACTCCAGGTACCACACAGAGGCCTGTGAGGACCCACCCACCATAGACTGCAACCTCATTGATATCCCTCATGACTGTTTTGAACAAATGAAAATGGAAACTACACACCTACCAACTGTTTATGAAGCTGCATTACTCAACCCGGATCAAACACTATTTGTGGATGGCTCAAGGTTTGCTGATGAACAAGGACAATACCACACTGGATATGCAGTCACCACAGGATGTCAAATATTACAAGCAGCTGCCCTACAACCAACTAAGTCTGCCCAAGAGGCCGAGTTAACAGCCTTGACTGTGGCCTGCAAACTGTCCGAAGGTCTACGTGTCAACATTTATACGGACTCAAGATATGCCCTGGGAGTGGCACACGATTTTGGCTTAATTTGGAAGACCAGAGGATTTCTTACAGCCACCGGTACCCCAGTAAAACATGGGGCAGCCATTGCAGAGCTGATGGACGCATTGGAACTCCCAGCAGAAGTGGCAGTATTGAAAGTAAAAGCTCATGGAAGATTAGACACAGAAGAAGCACGTGGCAACAGCTTAGCTGATCAGGCAGCCAAAGAGGCAGCACGACAAGGATGGGAAGTGGACAGAAGAGTGGCCACAGATACATTACCCATTTACACTATGCAAACATTGCCTACAGATCTCAGGCTGCTGAAGGAACAACAAGCTGCTGCCACTCCTCAGGAGAAACAAAGTTGGAAGAACAAAGGAGCAATACTCCGTGATGAAGTTTACACCATTAATCTCAAGTTCTGCCTACCTAGAAGTATGTACCCAGCGGTGGTCCAATGGGCCCATGGGCCAGCCCACCTGTCAAAGCTCCTGATGAACTCACTGATTGACAAGTATTTTGAAGCACCAGGCATCACTACCTTAACACAGAATTACTGCAAATCTTGTACTATATGTGCTAAATGCAATCCTGGAAAAGTCATAAAGACTGCATCTAATCATCTAGCCAAGCCACAATATCCCTTCCAGAGGTTTCAGATTGACCACATTCAGATGCCAAAGAGCGGACGTTATGAATATGCATTGGTTATAGTGGACATGTTTTCAGGATGGCCAGAGGCCTTCCCAGTGACTAATCTCACTGCGAGGACTACAGCCAAGTACCTTTTGACAGAAATTGTTTGCCGCTACGGGGTTCCAGATGTAATTGAAAGTGACCAAGGGACCTCCTTCACTGCCTCGCTAACACGGGAAGTCTGGTCAGCACTGGGGGTGACCCTTGCATTCCACACACCATATCACCCACAGAGTAGTGGTAAGGTAGAGCGCATGAATGGCACTCTGAAAGCCAGAATGCTTAAAATGTCACAAGAAACTAACATGCCCTGGCCCGAGAGTCTCCCACTAGCGTTATTCAGTGTAAGGTACACTCCCAGAGGAAAATACAGTTTGTCACCTTATGAGATTTTGTTTGGTACAGCACCCAGGTTAGGTTGCTATTTTCCCCAACAGCTTCAGATTCAGTCAGACGCTATGGTAGACTATGTGACTGCCCTCTCACATGCCTTGACCAAGATACATGCCCAAGTGTTTTCTTCTATTCCAGATCCTGAGTCGAATACAGGTACACACAAGCTGCTTCCGGGTGATTGGGTTATGGTTAAGAAGTTCCTCAGAAAACACACCCTAGAACCAAGATTTGATGGTCCTTATCAAGTGCTCCTCCTGATTACAGCAACGTCAGTTAAACTAGCTGGGAAAAGTTCCTGGATACACGCTTCACATTGCAAAAAAGTGCCTGCTCCAGAAGAAGCTGATCCTGTTGAAACATGAATTTATTATGTGTCTTGTGTTTTCTTGTGTTGTTGCACTTTGCCTGGGCCCAGCAAGTGGCCATAACCAAAGATAATCACGTTTACACTTTCTGGTACAACTCTTCTAATACTGATGTGGCCACATACACCTTTGATTACTGTGACATAGTTACTTGTACATTCCCGCAGACACAACATGCAGCCATATACAAAGACATACCCAACAAAAAGGACCCATACATTTGTGTGACTGGAGGAGCCTGGGGACACCATTGTAGTTCATGGAAAGCTGCCGGGTGGAATACAGGTAGACCATGGGGCTACAGACCTCAGGTTGCACTAGACAGACTTGACAAAGACGGGAAGCCCCTACTTTCTAGAATGACTCTGAGTAAACCCACAGGGTCAACTCCCATTAAACTTACCCTAAATATAGAGCACCCTAGTCCAAGGGACGCGGTGGAATATGTGATGGGGATGTACTGGAAGGGAGGTGGCTCACATAATGCATTGGGGACGTTTTACCTACAAGACATGCTCACCTCCCCAGACTGGGTAGGGACCACTCACATGATCGTTAACCCATTAAAACCACATATTAAGACCCTACATGAGATGGTAGCTATAGCCAACCCCACCTTTGAAGACACTATGGCAGTGGAGACTGGTTTTTCAGACACTAATTTGTGGCTAGAATGGATGAGGTACAATGCCAACTCACACAATAGAACTAATTGTTACGTGTGTGGAGGAGCCAGACCCCATCTGGGCACAGTTCCTCTGAACTTACCTCCTGAAGTAGAGTCATGTGTTCTGAGTCTTTACACACAGTCCATCACCAACTCCTCAACATGTGAATCATGGAAGAGAATTTACCCGATCACTCATGGACATGTAAAACCACCTGATGGAGTCACCATCTACCCAGGTAATTACACATGTTACACAATATCTAAGAACACCGGTTTGTATCTGGGCAAATTCCCATCAGGATACTGTTCAACTTACCATAATCCACCCATATCACTGCTAATGAATCACACAAAGACAATCGGTGATATCTACTGGTTATGTGGTGATAAACAATTGAGGTCCCAATTAACTGGGCAATGGTGGGGGGAGTGTGCCCTAACTAAAGTCATAATGCCTATCCATATCATTCCAGATGGTGACCATAACACGTTAAACCTTACACATGTACACTCTAGAACTAAACGAGAGACTCCTATCCAAGGGAGCTTCGACCCCCATGTGTATATTGATGCCATAGGTGTGCCAAGGGGGGTGCCTAACGAATTCAAGGCAAGAGATGAAGTGGCTGCAGGATTTGAATCCCTAATTCCAATGATAACTGCTAATAAAAATGTCAATTGGATTAACTACATTTACTATAATCAACAGCGCTTTGTCAACTACACTAGGGATGCCCTACAGGGCCTGGCAGAGCAACTGCAAGCCACTACCCAAATGACATTTCAGAACAGAATGGCCCTAGATATGATATTAGCTGAGAAAGGGGGTGTATGTAAAATCCTCCCTGAGACCATGACATGCTGCACATACATTCCAGACAACACTGGACCCAATGGTAAGGTGACTATGGCCATAGAAAAGCTAGATAGTCTTGCAGACGAGCTAAAGAAAAATTCAGGAGTCACTGACACTTGGGACAGATGGTTTGGATGGATGAATGGTTGGCAAAGGACCCTCTTCCAGGTGGGGACAGCTGTTCTCATAATGATCGTCATTTTCTTATTTTTGACCTGTTGCATATTCCCCTGCATACAGAACTACTTACAGAAAGCGGTAGACAAGACTATAGATGGCGTGACCCCTACTTTCATACACCAAGACATCACAGACCTCGAAGATGATACTCCACATACACCCCTTCAATCACATCAGTTCAAACAGACAACTGCTTTCCTGTAGGGACAGTATAGGGAAAGCGTCTGTCTTAACTGGCAAGTCTCACGTGTGGAGATGTGGTGGACTAGTCACCGCGGGTTACCCACGGAGTGAAGTGTTCGATGCTTGTTAAGACAGATAGGTTGCAGGCAACTAGGGACATATTAGGGACAGTAGCAGTTGTTATGGTAAATAGCCATTTTAGGGGGGACTGTTGTGGAAATAAGGTCTACACATATTTCCTAGTTAGTGAAAAATGTCTATTTACTCATTTCACGATATATACATATATAGCTAAGCACACACGTTATAATCAAGATGGCTGCTAGAAGCTTCTAGCTCCTTCCCCCTCCCCCTTCCTTTCTCCCTTCTAACATCGACTAACTACCTCGTGCACCAAGATGGCGCCGGGAAACCGTGGGAGATTCTCATGGCCCCGGTGACATCACCTACAGTAGGCAGAGCATTGAAGCAACCACTTAACACCTAACCAATAATTGATGTATTATTCCATGTTATCTCTGACAATGCATATGATGTAATTTTGCTTTAAAAGGGACCTGCCGTCCCCTCTGAATAAACTTTCCTCAAGTTATTCAACAACCTAGAACCTGTGTCTGGTGTGAATTACTTCAGGGAGCGTGCACGCATTGTTTCATTGATTTGGCCAGGGGCAGATACACAAAGAAATAATCAATACTTTAATTGATTTTTCCACTTCACATACCTGTCTCTTGCTCTCTCCTAAAGGGCAGCGCTTTACTCTCTCCTCCAGCGCTGCTTCACTCCCACCTATTTTGATTGCTATTCCCTGTCCTAATGTGTTTTACACCCCACCTCCTATAGACTGTAAGCTCGTTTGAGCAAGGTCCTCTTCAACCTATTGTTCCTATGATGTTTTGTAATTGTCTCAGATACTGTTAAAGTAACTGCTTTAGACTATTTTAGAACACTGCGGAATAAGTTAGTGCTATATAAATGGTAATATTACTTGGTTTCATGTCTTTACATTTTGTTATCCTAGAGCAGGTGTAAGCAACCTTTTTAGCAGCACTGTGCCGAAATATGATTGTGATGTCCCGTAGCGTGTCAGTCCTATTTCTTTAAATTGAGGTGTGCATGTTGTCATATTCTGCTTGTTTTATTTATACTGCATTTGCTTTGTATCGTTGTATTTGTGCGTATATGAGCTATTATATTGTGTATATGCTCATTAATAGTTATGAATGTGGGCTGTGTATGAGGGCTGCTGGTGGAATAGTGTGTGGTGGGATATGTCACATTGTGTGTTTGGTAGTGTGTGTGTTTGGGGTATTGCATGTGGGGTTGTGTGCATGTATGTGGATTGTTGGTGGTGTTGTGTTTGTGCGGACTGTGCTTGTGTTTGTATTATGTGTATGAGGGAGGGTTATTCTGCAGCTCTGAGGCTTCCCTGGGTTTAAGTGGGGACCAGGAGCTGCGATAGCTGTCGAGGGCTGCTCTACTACAGTTTGGATTCCCATTCACAAGTGCTGGGAGGAAGTGATCATTTCCTCTACGTGCTGCAATGCATAAATGGAGGATTGTCCTTCACCACCTCTTCGTATTAGCAGATATCTGAAGTTTTACTGGGACTCCTGATGGCCAGAGCCTGTTTGGCTCTAGCAGCCTTGAGTGCCGTGCATGGCACTAGTGCCGTAGGTTGCCTACCCCTGTCCTAGAGCTAGAAAGGTATAGTCCCAGCCTCTGACAGCACTCAAGGCATTTCTCACCTGGAGCAGATAATAATAATAATATTATTATTATTATTTATTATTATTATTATTGGGAGTCACTGCCCTCTGCTGCCAGACCAAAGTACTACATGTACTAGCAACACAAACCCTGTCTGACAATATTAAAAACCAAATGTCAGATCATAAAATAAAACTCTACATTTAGGCCAATTAGCTGAAATAATAAATTCTGTATTTAGCATTCAACCTGCAATGCCCTCAAATTCCAGACTTTAACTTCTCATTATCAACAATTATTGTTATTAAAGGTGTTCGGTTACACATGGAGTATTGCTGGTTAATATCATCCCACAACTCCCAGCCAGCCCCCGCCTGGCCCCTGTAACTCCCAGCCAGCCCCAGCCCGGCCCCTGTAACTCCCAGCCAGCCCCCGCCCGGCCCCTGTAACTCCCAGCCAGCCCCGGCCCCTGTAACTCCCAGCCAGCCCCA